AAGCAGAGTACCAGTTAAAGCCGCAGACCACAAGTACTCAGCAGATATATGTGTTGATACAGTACAGTATGTGTGTGTGTATATATATATACGCATAAATATGTATATGTTACATTATAAGGAGAATCCCATTCAGGACTTCTCAACTGCAAAAACTCTTTTACTACCTCCAAGTCTTGAAACTTCAGCCCTTTAAATTTCACACCAAAACAATGAGAACTCCCATACTTTCTAGATTGAATTATTATTTCTATTGTAGCCAATCTACCAAGCAGGGACAGCTGAAAGAACAGGAACTTTCATTTTAATAACACCAGTCCTGCCACCTCAGGCAGATGACACAAACTTCTACCACTAGATTATTTGCCCCTTCCCTGCCCTGTGGTTGTGTATCATGGGCATTTCTATGAGTTCTCAGACCAGCACCAGAGTCGTACTAACTGACTTGTGCCAATTTACTCAGTTGTCAGAGAAAACAGCGCAGTTATGTTTGTTCGGCCTGGAGAAAAGAAGGCTCAGGGAAGACCTTATAGCAGTCTTCCAGTACCTAAAGGGGGCCTACAATAAAGCTGGAGAGGGACTTTTTACAAGGACATGTAGTGACAGGACAAGGGGGAATGGCTTTAAGCTAACAAAGGGAAAGATTTAGATTAGACATAAGGAAAACATTCTTCACTGTGAGGGTGGTGAGACACTGGCACAGGTTGCCCAGAGAAGCTGTGGATGCCCCAACCCTGGCAGGGTTCAAAGCAAGACTGGATGCAGCCTTGAGCAACCTGGTCTAGTGGGAGGTGTCCCTGCCCATGGAAGGGGAGTTGGAACCAGATGAGCTTTTAGGTCCCTTCCAACCCAAACCATTCTGTGATTCTGTGATTTATCAGCCAGCTAGTACAGATCTGATAAAACCCCAGGTTTATACTTTGCAGTACTGGCTGGAGTCATAATTGGTTTTAATCATGTTAATGGTTCTTCCTTTTAATCTCTAGCAAGCCCACTTCTACGCATAGTGGCTGTCATAATACATACACAGCCTCAGAGCTGGACAGTTTGAGACACCATATTATTCATTGTAATCCTAAACCCCAACCTTATAAATGTCTGCTGTATGAAATTCAGATATGGAACAGAAAAAAAGTCTTATTTAAATCACTTTGAGCAAGTCTTACTTTAAAAAAAAAGAAATAGGAGCAACAACAACAATAAGAAAAGCAAGAATAAATGTAACAGGCACTTAAGAGCAAAGTAAATGCAAAACCTTTTTGGATATTTAGATGAGGGGGAGCTATTCATCTCCCTTGCCTCTAGCTTATCTAGAATTTATACATCTAGCACAGACTAATTATTTGTGCTTCTTCCAGTCTTGAGGAGACAAAAGCTGCCTTCTGGAGGCTGTCACATCCTCAAATAGGGCAAATGAGTCTCTCCAGGGATGATAGACCCTCCGTAACCATGGAGAAAGGCTGAGATTACCTGACACTTACACAGGTAAAACAAGTCTCTCACTCCACCCATAAGCCACTATAATAAATCCTGAAGGCTTTGCTTGGATCCTGCATGGACAAATTCACCAACTTCAAGAGGACAAGGGTTTGCTCTTATGTTTTTGGGAGGCAGAGTGGAAGGTTCATTGGCAGTCCAATTTTACACCAGTGTTGCTCTGACCACTTGCACTAGCTGCTCAGCCATGATGGTTCATGACGAATTTGCCCACTGGTTATGCAGCATCATGCAACAAGGGCAAAGGGTGAAACATGTTTCTCTAACTGCCAGAGATGCATCTCAGTCTACACTTTCCTCAGTGGGGGAACCAGAGCGGGAGGTGCTGATCTCCTCTCTCTGGTGACCAGTGATAGGACCTGAGGGAATGGAAAGAAGCTGTGTCAGGGCAAGTTCAAATTGGACATTAGGAAAAGGTTCTTCACCAATATGGTGGCTGGTCACTGGAACAGGCTCCCCAGGGAAGTGGTCAAGCCTATCATAATTCAAGGAGTATCTGGACAATGTTCTTAGTCATATGGTTTAGTTTTAGGTAGTCCTGCAAGAAGCAGGGAGTTGAATGCAATGATCCTTATGGGTCCCTTCTGACTCAAGATGTTCCATGATTCTAAGTTGAAGTAAATTGACATTCTCCTAGACACCAAACTAGCTGTGCTGTGTCTTCATGGACATATATATTACTTGACCACTATTGTCTAAATTTCTGCTGGGACTACAGGGATTCAACAAGGTCTAGAACTACTCTGTCAAGTAAGTGTAGGTCTTACACACACATTAAAGTTATACAGCTTTACAAATGAGATAATATAGACAAAACAGTAGAGCCCACCCAGTAGGACAATATTTATAATCTATGGGGACATTTACTCTGTTACACCTTCTTACGGCATGGAGAGAAGAACAAGATATATTGTCAAATTCACCCTCATATCAATATAAAATTATTTTAAAAAACCTAAACATAAAAAGGCCCTAATGAAGAGTTATTTTTGTTCAAAATTAATCAAGCAAGTGCTACTGAAATACTATGAGGACTTCTGCATATAATTCCTTCCGGGCAAGATTTTTTTAAATAATCAAGAACAAATTATATATTTTTTTGAATAGGCAAATAGTTCTCAGTCCTTAACTCTGGGAGCAAGGCTACCTCTATCCCTTCTTCACACTGCTGTGTTTTGCTATTGCTGCATTCCCTGAATTACAGGGCTAGCACATATAAGTACATACAGTACAGGCTACACTCCTGGCAACTCCAAGATCTTTTTTTAAACCTTTCTCATCAGGTCAGATTCACCTCCCTGAGTTGCTCCCAACAACAGCCATACCATGTATTAGACCAGTATTACAAAACAGGATGAAAAAGCACAGCCAACATGCATCTTCCAAAGTATCTTCCACAAAATAAATCAGACAGCTCCTGGTAGGCAGGGGCATGTTTGTCCCAGCTACTCACAAAACAGCTGGAATTTATTCCCTGTTTTGGAAGACACCTGTAACTGTGTGGCCACAACCTGGATGCTTCAGTGCCCAGGCCCGGGAGCTCTCCAGCTGCCCCCCTCCACACACATGGCAGTGAAGAAGAGCATGCTGCAAAGCTACAGAGGTGACACAGGCGCCTAGAAAGGGTTGAGCTTGATGTGGTATCACCTTCCCCTCAAAAAGATGGCATTTCCCATCCTCCACAAAGACATTTCTTCCCTCAAAGCTCTCCCCAGACTCACTGTCTAATCTCCTTTCTCTGTCAGGAGACCACTTACAACCTCCTCACCTATGCAACCTGGCCCTCAACTAAGAAGCCCAAGCTTCTTCACTTCAGGGGGAGAGAACTGCCATGTCCCAAAGCCTGGGCATCCTTTTTGGAGAAACACTCCAGTTCATGGGTTGTGCTTAAGTAGGCCCTGTTGTTCAATTAGCTGAGCTGGCTGAAGGTTTTCCCATTGTAACATGATTTTTCTATTCTAGTATTAATTTTGGTGTTAAAAAAAAAAAATAAAAAATCAGTGGGGATGGGTGGGGTTTTTGCGCAAAACTCAGTGCTTTTAATGAAAAAAAGGTTGCTTTTCTCAATATTTTGCTGTTTATTTCTGTTGGGAAAGCTTGAAACACATCATTTTTGTCAGAAAAATATCAGTCCATGTTTGTCCGAATTCCTCCAGAGTCAGCTGGGAGCTGTAATTCACGGGCTCCATGTCTCCCTCTTTCCCAGAAGGCTGGGCTCCTGGGCACCCCTCCAGCCTTCATGACGCATTCCCTCTTTGACTAACCCACGGTAAGAGCATCATGGGATCTGTAACCCAGCCAAAGAGCTGGACCCCAAGGGAGACACAACACACAAGGCACTTGAATGGTAATTTCTGAGGTCTGCAACAGTAGCTCTAACTGATGCTGCTTTAAGGGCCAAACGGATTTAATTAAATGTTTCCATTTCAAAAGGCATTTTCCAGCTGACAATTTCTCATTTTTTGAAAAATTTCTGTTCCAGGAAACTTTTTGGTATTTCAGCTTTCCATCTCAATTCAGGATGAAATTAAACATTCAAGCATCAAAAATTCAATGCTTTATGGACATTCAGTTTGGGAAACAGCCTTATTAATTAGCTACCAAAACTAAACTGACTCCATCTATTCAAGAAGGGTGTGATCCAGTTTGCCTTTGACATCAGTGGAAGCCACTTTTTCAGTTTAGTGGAGCCTGGATGGAATCCCAAAAGTCCAAGGAAGGGTGGAGTTGGCCATAGTTGCAGATATGGGGAATAGGAGTCAAGAGTGAAATAGCAGAAATATAAGAAGCAGCAACTAAGATAATCTGCTACCTGGACTCAATCAAAACTCAGTTTTACTTACTTTAGTAAGTAACAGAAGGAAAAATCATTAAGATTATAAAACTTAATTCCCAGTTACAGTGAATATAGCAATCAATCAACACTTTTTAAAGTAGAATAAATCCATAGTATGAATGTGCCATGAACTCTATAACTTCCAACGTTCAAAACATTTCCTCAGAAAACCTTCATATACTCCATTCGAGGAGACTGTTCTAAAGCTAAAGATATAATATGGTACCGAACTGATTGCCACAGGTTACCTGTCATCCCTCAAACCCTGCGGAATTGTTCTGATGGATGGGTGTTACAGAAGCTCTGTCAGGAGGGACCAAGATCTCTGAACTTTGATCACATCTACAAGTGGAGAATAGCTACGAGTGGGCTTCCAGGGTTGACACTCTGGGTGAGGACTGGGCACCAAATCCATCCTCTGCATTGCTCAATCTGGCTTTGGATGTAGCCCCAGGCTTTCCACCTCAAAGAGTAAAAGAGAAACCCCAGGGAGCCCATGTCGATCAGCAACAGGGTGTGCGTTGAAAGCAAGAGAGTACTCAATAGGTTGTGTGTTGAAAGCAAAAGAGTACTCAGAAGAGAAAATAAACCAATTCACTCTACCACAAGGGGTCTAGAGAATTGGGTTTTGTTTATCTTTCATTTCCCTTTAGTATGAGGCAGATGTAATAAGCAGAAACCTGAACAATTTTTAAGACTGAAGAGGAAGGGAGGGAGGAAGAAACATGTACAAGTTTTGACGATGTTCTCAGTTCCAGCTTATTTAAAAAATAACAACCCACCAAATAAAAAACTAAACCACACACCACCAAAAATGTATATCTGTAATAGCAGGTTTTTTCTTAAGCTGTTTGGTAATTCTTAGTTCACAGGAGCATTTAATCCAGAAATTTCTTCATGTTTCCAGTCTAGGTTGTAGCAATCTCAGTGAGGCACTAAATTTTAGGCTGTTAAAGTCTTTCTGTGCAGCACGGTCATTTTAAAATGATGTGGTAGCCATCATTGCTTTCAGCTGTAACAAAGAAATGCAAAGCATTTTTTCATTGCTTTTGGAAAACAGCACAGAACTCCAGATTTCTTCTTAGGTAGTTTGCAATAGTTTGTAACCTTGTTCCACAATCCACTCATGAAAATCAATATTGAACATCTAGGTCAAAGCATTTACATTATAAAATACAACATACTAACAGTCATCTTTTACATTTTACTAGAGGGCTTTCTGCTTATTTATGTCAGTGCTATCAATGGATTTATGGAAGTTTTATAACAATATAACTGAGTAAAACACAGATCCATCTGTCTATCATAGTGTAAGCTGATGCAACACCTTGACTTACACTAGATTAGACTACTTATCTTTTCAGGGTAAAAGCACCAAGTTTGTGATAACATTTAGTGCAGTTGAAAGGAGAAATTATCTTTAGAGACACATTTAATAACAGCAATACATACCTTTTAATGTGCTGATAACAAAACAAGATTCATCTTGGAAGTTTTGCACCATCTGAAGGGCAGAAGGAAAAAAAGCCAACATAAGAGCAATCACATTCAAGTTTCCTTCAGTGCTAGTATAGACTTTAGAGGAGAGGTATCAAACAACATTTGGTATTTAGTCCTAGAGAGTCCCGAGTAACGCTGTCCATAAGATTACTAAAGTACATGGCTGATTAATTAAGGTTCATGCAGCTGCTAATGTGCTTAAGACAAGCTCGTATTGAAGTGTGTGCCTGGAACTGATCTAGCTTGTTCAGCATTTTACCATCCTCTTTGCAGCTCTTGATCCTTTAAGTTGTTATACCGCTCCAGTTAGTCTATTTAGGACCATGTTCTTAACTGCCTTCAGTAAAGCTATACTAGTTTAGGCTGGATGAAGACAGTCCCTCTCCTAAAATCTCCTGAAATGCACATTCAGCTGAATGATGAAGCTCAGTTGAGCTTACATTAGCATCTGAAATATTATCTAGAGGTGGTCAGCCCTGAAAAATGGGCTTCTTGTTGAATAAAGGCAAATTGCTACTGAAAAGCCATCTCGGCAGCATCCACCTGGATATTTTGACTAGACATTAGTCAAAATGTGCTTGTAGGAATCATTTACCTGTTTATATTTTGTTGCGGCACAGGAATCTTAATGGAACTGCTCTGAGAGGCAAAGCAGACCATGGAAAGCAAGATAAGTATCTAAAGCAATGTGAGTTAGTCACGATAAAACTAGATTTTCAGAACACATGCAGGTTCTAGTGAGGCCCCTAACTAAAGAGGTAAGTTAAAAGATTCAGCTAACTTCAGATCCAAACTGAAATGCTCATTTAAGCTTCATCTTTATTCAATGCGTTCTCCCACCTTAGAGTAGTTGGGATTACCTTCAGAGGGGTGTCTCAGACAGGTGAAGCAGGTGCTGGACACCTGACTTCAGTGGGGAGGTGATCAGAACCTGTCTGATCAGCTCAGAAAATCCAGTTTTAAGCAAAAGCCTTTTCCTAGCTATTGAATATCATTCAAGTAAAGCACTTTCCAGTGTAAGTTCTTACACTAAATATCCTTTTCATCTTACACTAACTTCCCTATTCTCTTTGGGGTTTAACATCCACGCCCTGCTCTCGCAAATCAAACTTCACTGGCCAGTCTGTGCCTAATGATGCATGAAGTACATTCATAGAGTGCCTCACTCTTTGCACTATAGTACTAGAACAAGAAAAAAATTATTAAAAAAAGTAATAGACATTGTTAATAATTGACTTAAATACTTAAAGCCTTATAGCCAAGCTGGTTCAGGCAATTCCCCCACCAAGAGTTGCCTCCAAGCACTTTACCTCCATAAAGCATCAGAGTTTCAGATTTAATCAGGCTGAAACAGCAAAGAGACTTTAGGAATAGGCATTACAGCCTTCGATTTAGGCTCCAGTTGAGACCTACGCTCTGCTTCATTTGTTTCAACAATGTTTCTTATACATGAAGCTCCTTAAGTGATTCTGGTGCATGAATGAGTAAGTAATTTAGTGGGGAGGAAAGAGGAAGAAGGGCAACCCACTATTAACCTGCAAGTTAATGGATTGGACTAAATTAAGCCATCATATAATGGGACACAAACAGCTAGCAGAGGGCCATTAAATTATAGTGTGCACTTACATAGCTCTGACTCTGACCCAGTGGCTGTAATCAATGGCCAAGATGGAAGACTAACTGCCCTACAGATTTTCAAACTTGCCTTCTTTAGGAAACTTTCCTATTTAAAGGTTCTTATTTTAGATCCTCGCTCCAAAATCTGTTTCAGTAGTCAACATGGAAAGGAAATTACCCATTTTGTTCTGTTTTGTTAAAAAAAAAACCAAAAACACCACAAACAAAAAACCCCACAGCAAAAACAAAACAAAACAAACCAAAACCAAACCAAAACACCAACAAACAAGAAAAAAACAACCACAGCAAAAACCATCACAACAAAAAATCCAAACATACTCTTTTACAAAGCAATGATCTTAAAAACACACCAAAATCAATGGTATGCATGAATGATTTGCTTTAAATATTTGCTTTAACTTGGGAATAGTAACTTTGCTAAGCTTCCTTGAAGATTCATTCTGTAATTTAAAAGGCTATTCTAACTTCAAGAAGTCAGACAACTGTTACAGTTCTGACAGAGTTTACATTAACCCCTTACCTCATTGCTCACTAATACATGGATCCCTGTGGGTCCCTGCCGATAGATTCGATTTATCTGCTGTGGAGAAATGCTGTACAAGTTTGCAATCTTCTCAATTAATTCCAGCGTGGTCAATTCTTCCAAGAAGATTGCATGATATACTGCAACAAGTTGAAAGTAATTACAGAGTTCTAATCATAGAATAGCAACTACAGATAACACCAAGATGCTCCATATCAACGACCAAATGCGTATAAGATCAAGGTTTAAATCCTGACAGTAGCTTACTACCTTTAAAGCAGCACCCAAATATCCAGCTTGATGATTTGCAAAAAAATATCCAAAATTTGGATGCCATGGGCAAATAAAACACATATTACTTTTGCCCAGAGGAAAACACAGGGACTAATGACAACATGTATCATGGGGCACTAAAAAACCCCTCTCATCAAGATGTTAATATTTTTTGATAACCTACTTTTACTGATTTTGACATTTTAAAGTAGATCCAATTAAATAGTAAGACAAATGATATTATGTTACAAAAAACCAGTACCTGATTAGATTCTATCCCATTGATCCCATAGGCACAAACTAAAGACTACAATGTACCAAATAACTGTAGATAACAGTATTAACTTTTAAATCCAATCCAAATGGTAGAAACAACCAGGTAGAAAAGCTGTGCCTAGTTTATACTATGTGCAAGAACTAAGGACAATCTCTATTCTCATTTGATTGTACATCACGAGGAATAGTTAAGATCAGTGAGCCCCCAAAAGCTTTGAACTTTCAAGAATTAGAACCTCACTTTAAGACATAGTGACCTTCCATTTCCCAGAATATTTTCAACCAAGCCATAATCTGAAGCAAATTGCGAATGGTGGGGGTAGGTTTTAATGCTATGTTCCCTATTCAGAACTGAATACATATTTTGCTATAGCATTCTGCATATAGTTTGTAAATTTGATCTGTTCCTGAGGCAGACGGTACCAGTTGGAATCTGTAGCCCTGAAACTAACCACAGTGGCAGAACTGAGATAAACAGGACCTCTTTAAATACTTGGGATGCCAAGTTGTCCCACACAGGAGCTCAGGCAGAAAGCAGCATTTTCATCAGGTTACGTGTTTAACAAATTCTATACATAAAAACTTACCACAAAGACTGCTATCTCCATTTTCTCGTTTTTGGTGGAGATGGGACCTATTTTGCTCTGGTTCTTGACAGACATAAATTGTCATCTTTGGCCTTACATTTCTATGGATTATTAAAAAACAGTAGTAAGTTATTTAGTAGATCTAAAATGGTTCCAGTTAGCTAGCAAACAATGAGAAATGGAATCATTCAGGCTGTGCATAAATAACCCACTAAGGGGTAGTCTTAATGCTGGGGACTAGATGTCTTAGGCGGTCTAGCCAGAGCCCCCTGAGAGGTTGTGGGACAGACCAGAGCACCTTAATCTCATCAGGATCAAATAAGAATGAAAAGTTTACAGCACTTGCCAAGCAGCTCATCATACCCGCCTTTACTGATTTGAATCCTGCCCAGCTGTAGAATTTATGATGTTACTGCAATAAAAGTAAGTTTAAGAGTCATTTGAGACTCCAGAGGTTGGTTTGTTTATTGTTTCCTGTGATGGAGATGCAACACAGTGTATTGTAGGCTGCGTTTCATATAAAGTGGAGAGAAGCTATCAGGTGATAGCAAATAAACCCCTGGATGCTGCTTCATTTCAGCAATATGTCTGAGCTGTGCTTGGATTTTAATATGATTGTTATCTCCATCCTCTGAGATGACCTCTCTGAAGTGTTAAAAGGAAGTCTAAATGCAACAGCTCCAGGATTAACTTCTAGTTAAGACTGAAATTACCAAGGGATGCTGCCATAACAAAAAAATAGGAAGGAAGAAGTACAAACCTTCCTTTGATTGCATTAAAGAGCCGAATTCCATCAGCAGGCCCACAGATTTGAACAAAATCTTCTTTGGACATCTTCAGTAAGTCAGCACCTACATATTTCAAATTGATTTTTTTTCAGAAGTTAAGCAAATCTTAGCTTCCAAATTGTGTGTATGGGCAGCAGGAAAAGGCCAGGAGGAGAGAATTCACAGAGCTAAACCAGACAGATCTGCCTAGAGAGTAGCAGATTCAGAGAGGTCTACAATACAAATCAATCATTGTGCAGAATGCCAGAAGCTGCCAAAAGAGCAGCCCTGCACTGAAAGATATTCTAGTCAACCTGGAGACAAGCTAGCTGTTTAACACTGGCCATTAAATGGCCCAATTTTATCTAACTGCCATGTTCACAAGGTTATTTAATCATAGAATAGTTAGGGTTGGAAAGGACCTTAAGATCATCCAGTTACAACCCCCCTGTTGCGAGTCAGAGAGAAGCTCCTCAAGGTTTCAACATCTTTAAGAATTCCCCCTTCCACCATCTTACTGCTGTGTACAACTACCTAATAGGAGGGTACAGTGAAGATGGAGCTGAGTGAAGATGGAGCTGAATGAAGATGGAGCCAGACGCTTCTCAAAGGTGCACAGGGGCAGAGTCAGAGGCAGCAGACAGAACATGGGAAACATTCATTAGGTATAAGGAGAAACTTCTTCACTGTGACAGCAGTCAAGTATTTGAAGAGGTTGCTTGGAGATATTGTGAAATTTCCAACCTTGGAGATACTCAAATGCAACTGTACAAGACCCTGGACTTCAAGCAGGGGGTAGCACTTAATGAACTCAAATAGTCCCTTCCATCTCAAATTATTCTCTTCCATCTTTACTTATTCTATATTTCTACAAACTGTTGTGGCAAATGCTAACTAATCTAAGAACAAAAGAACAACCACACTGGATCAGACCAGTGATCCCATGAACAGTGGCCAGCAGCAGATGCTCTTGATGTGAAGCATGAGCTGCACTTTCAAAAGAGAATAAAGACAAAATAATTGGACTGTTTAAACTCACCCGAAAAACTTGAGAAGAGCCTACAGAATGGAGAGAACCTATTACGATGAAGCCACTGCTGGGCATCTTGAATAGAAGCAGAAGGAAGGAGATGCTACATTGCAAAAAGAATAAGAAGGTCTTGAAATGAACTGTTCACCAGTGTCCTAAAAAAGAAAAGCACCACATTAACATGATCTCTAGTACTTACATCATTGCTGGGAGGCAGGAGCTCCACTTGGTGGGTTGGAGAACTGTTGCTAAAAAAAATTATACAAAGTTGGAAGAGAAAAGAAAAACATTATTTTAAATTTTACATAGCAGTGCCCATCCTTCCCCCCCTCGTCCATTTGACTCAACTGTCACAAGTTACATAGCAACTTGGCTTCTTCCTCTATCAGATTTTTAAAAAGGTGTCCAAAATCTGGACAAAAAGAAAAAAACAATAGAAAAAAACCAAACTCCAACTTGAGGTCCTACTCAGTTTACTGACCTCATTCAAACTTTTCCATACAGATGGCTTACTAACATGACACCATCTAAGCATGAAAGTTGTGACCTGTAGAGTGGTTGAACTCAAGATTTCCACAAGCCAGAAATCCCCTAACTAAATCCACTGTCTAACAGTGATTCATCACAGAAATTGAATAAAGGACTTTATAATTCAACCCTGGTGTTATCTTAAACATAGAAAATTGCAATTTAACTATATTACATAAAACTGCATTTCTATTAAACCCTCCTAAAACACAGACAAGACTTCAACGCATCAGGATTTTCCCAAAGAATTAATAATCTAGCAGTGAAAGAAAATGGTCAACAGATCCCCCTATTAACATCGATTTTTGTCATTTCAGTGTTTGTCCTTATTCACAGGTTGAAGTTGCTCACTGCAAATTTGTGATACAACACTGATGAATTAATAAATTGTGCAGGAAGGCAACAAGGCTGCAGAGTCCTAGAGGACAAAAAAACCCAACCTATGCCAAATTCCTAGGGGTAGGTATGTCACAGGGAGGACTCAGAAGTACTAAGGGACTCTGCCGTTTATTTCTGTCATCAGCTATCATGTTGGGTGCTTCAGGACCACTAAAACTGTTTCTTCATGATTGCTACATTAATGAATTAAAAATATCTCCTCTTAATCATGTGTTCTGGAATGGCTTCTCAAAATTCAGGCTGTTTTGCCACAGACAGGGTTTCTTTATATCCCATTCAATTGGGAATCCAGCACCGCAAACTACCTCAAGACAGAAAGGAACGCCGAAAGACTCTAATGCTATTGTCAGAAAATAGTGGGGAGTGCTAGTACAGGGCATTGTCTGTGTGTTCTCTGAAGAACAGAAGAATAAGAAATGAAAGTTATAGCAGGAATTGCCCTGGTGATCCTCTGAAGCTCTCCTCCCAGCCACCACATAAGCAGTGGACATATTGTGTACTGTGCATTACACGTAATTCCTGGATGGAAGGTCTTAAAAGGCTTAGTGGGAAGTATTTTTCCCTTTCTAGGAAGGGTGGTCCTTGACCTATTCTTCCAGGGTATGAAATGCATGGACACACAAACAACTTGGACACAACACTACGATATCAACAGGAAAGATTTTATTTGTTACATACCCATCTCCAAGGTTGAAGCTGTTGGGAGAACTGTTGTAGCTTGGAGATGGAGCATTGTTCATTTGATAAGGCACATCTGGCCAGGGAGAGCACTGTTGGAAGAAAGGCAGCAGGGATACTTTCTTAAGGATGGAAATAAAGGATTTGATTCTCCTTTAACACCATATTATGCTGTTGCCTCACCACTAACTTCAGCTCATCACTCCTGCTGGGAGGAGGAGACAGGCCATGGATTTTCTACACTGCTCTCCAAATGGGCTGCCAGGGGGCCAGATTGATTCCAGTTGTGCATTCCACATTTCTCTCATTTCACAAAGCCTGTCCCCAAATAACACTGGGCCAAAGTGTGCACAGCTGTAAGTCAGAGCAACGCCAGTAAGTCAATGCAGACTGAAGGCAGCAATGATACAGAATACCCCTGGTCTCAATTATACATCCCTAATTAAACCCAGGCAAGAGCAACAAATATGCTCCAGTGGCACTGCTTCAGGTTAGTACCAGTGAAAGAGCAGAATTCGAACCAGTCTGCTAAAACCTCTGGCTATTAGTCAAAGAGCTCAAGTTAAAAATGGGTATTACATGGAGAAAATTTGAAAGAGACAGACACAAAACTGCTAAAAGCCTTCACAAATATAGGTCAAACTCCATATTCCATTACAGTAGTGTAAAACCAGAGCAACCCAGCTAGAATTAGTGACTCTGTTCTGAATTTAAGCCACTGTAATCAGCAGGAGAAATTTAGCCCTGTAGAACCACCCCATGATCAAGAGCTCAAGAAAATGCACTGTAGTATCCTTGTTTGCAATGATTAAAAGACAACGAGTGTAGCTTTGGAGTTTTATCATCTAGCAAATATTTTATCATCTCACAAGCACTAGCAAATATTTAACTCTTCAGCAACCCACGTTTCCTCATGCAATATGTCAAAGTGCATCAGAGCTCATAGGGAGAATTTTGGATCTGCCAACTCAGCGGAATTAGGTCTGTGTACACAAAAATCTCGTTAACAACCACCCTGTTGAATTAGAAAACATGCTGGTTGCTCCTGGCAATGTAAGGAAAATAAAGTGGGAAGAACTAGATCTCACAAACAGGAAGTTTATTTAAATTAAGAAAACCCCTCATTTTTAGAAGTTCAGCAAGCCACTTCAAAAAACAGAAGAACTAAATCAAACAAGACATCCCCACAAGCAGAACGAACAGCACTTTTAAACCACTCTCTTGAGTCCTATTGCTTAGTAATTCTGCAGCCTGGGGTAAGCTTATATATATCTTAGCAATGGCAGGAAGGAGTAGAAACGCATACATCTCTACCCCAAATGCATTAGAATGTAAGACATCCAAGATATTCCTAGAGTACAAGCCAGAATCTTCTGAGATCTTGCATGTAATAGTAGCTTCATAGGCACATTCACAGAAAAACAAACTAATAATTTAATCAGACACCCTATTCATCTATTCAAGTGCCCCATCTCCAACACAAGCTTTTGCCAGACAGCTCTGAAGAAAATGCCTCATACAACTGGCATCTAAGCACCATGACAAGTGCCCGGGAGCACAGCACAAGATAGAGAAAATATTTCTTTTAAAGCTAGGCTGTTAAGGGTTGGTTTGTACCCTAAAACATAAGAAATTTTGGCATCTTTTATAAACTTCAACAGTGAGAGACATTTTAGAATTTCACTCTGCTCTCAATTTTGATCAGATCTAGGCATAAACGTCTCCACAAGACAAACTCCAGGGCTTAGTTAGACTGCATTTTCTCTCAAATCTATCTCCCAACATGATGAAATAGTATGATGTCTAAAATGCTTTACCTCTGTGAGAATAGTTGTCTCATAGGAAGGCTGATACTTCTCTTTCTCTTGGGTGGTCTTCTTCTCCATTTTTTCCCTGTCAGTCTTCTGTTTTCTGTCTGCTCCTTTAGGCTGTAAGCACAAGCAGAAGCTTTCCCTTATGCCAAGTATTACAAGTTTGGAGACAGAGGCCAACAGATTTCTTCTCTAATACATTCACAAAAGTGTCCTTAAGATTTATGGGGACTCTACATATGGAACAAGATCAGATCTGCATTTCCTAGACATAAAAATATAATGGAGCATCTCCACTGTTTCTGTAACATCCCCCATTAATGTCTATTGTCCAAAATAAGCTGACCACAGTCCCGAGATTTGGTATTACTCATTTCAGACCATGAGCACAATGAGTTATGCACTTCAACTGGTTTTGTACCATCTCTCCGGGAACAGGTAAGACACTGCTTACAGGAGCCAAACTGGAGCAACAGATCCTTTGAGAAAACAGGCCTATGAAAAGCTTTTTCTGAAGTGTCTACACGTCTGCCATGCCCAGCTTAGGATCTTTGGAAATGCTTTCTCCCTGAATCTTTCTCTCCTCCATTTAGCATGGAGAGGAACTCTGTTACAACAAAAGAAAAAAAGGGGTATTTAAGATCTCCAAAATCTCACTGTTCATGGAGAACTGAATCAAAAAATTTGGAGATGCCATAACGTCATGATTGCCTCAGAGCACCAAAACATAGTGGATACCCTAAACATCTCAGTATTTGTATAGTGTTCAAGGCATAATGGACTGCCATAAGTCTTGATACAGCACGTGGGTCACTTGAATTTAACTAGAATTGCTGTGTAGTTCTGTGTTTATATCACTGTGTGTGCAAGAGTCCTGTTTAAGATCTGAAGCATACCCAGATAAAAGTCTTTTACTTCAGTATTTGTATCACTCCTACACAATTTAAAACCTACACATGCTCCGGTGTCTTAATCTAGATGATGAGAAAGACAAAACTACCTCATACCTTGAACACTTTGATCTGGCAGCTTGCAGAATGCAAGTGTTCTGTGTATTCACCATTTTCATTTTGTTTAAATGTGTCGATTTGCACCCGGAAGGGCACACCTTTTTCTCCTCCATGTTTCCGTGGAGTAAATTCTGTGCTGATGCAATGTACCTGGCAAAACAAAAGCTGTGCTCATCTCTGGGGACAGTTGGAACCTGTGCAAATCTGAATTTCAGATTTTGCCTGAACATATGGTATTGGCTCCTCCCGAGAAGCTAAGAGAGGCTGAAGAGTTCTGATGTTTTTATTTCTGTTCCTCGGGACAAAGCAATTAGAAGAACAAGAAGCTCGTAAAGAAGTAGAGCACGAGGAAAAGCATCCTTTAACTTAAGTAAATCGCATATACAGATTAAAATCAGATAGTTGGCATTTGGGATGAAAAACACTTATAAAAGATGAAAGCAAGAAAAACTAACAGGTTATGGACAATTTCCTCTAAACAAAATCCATGCATATAAAGCAATACCATTCTTTAAAAAAAAAAAAAAAAAAAAAAAGTCCTAAAATCCTAGCTGTAGTAAGTAGTACTCCAAAGCTAGCAAGTTGCTAGCAAGTTGGTTTAGCCAGCATCCTACAAATTAATTATACACAATTGTCACTTGAGTTTGTATATCATCATTAGCATCTTTCTTCTTTATTTCCTGGCTACCTTAACTCTCTAGGTCTTCATAAGATATCTCTCCATTGTATTTACCACAGAAATATCAGTCGTCTCTTACCTGAATGAATGCTGAAGCTCTCTTTGATGGATCCCACAGAAATTCAACAGTATTCAACTGGGTTGGACTGGCCCTGGGATCCAAGATACCAACTGACAGTGGAATATCTGTAGAAGAAAACCCCTAAAATTTTAAAAATATTAAATTGAAGAAGAGAAAGCATTTCCATACAATTACAAGATGCATGTGAAAAGCCAAGCCACCAATGATACATCTATCTGGAACCTATAATGCTAGATCTCCTTCCCACCCAAAGGCATACAGGATTCCTAAGAGAATAGGGTTTAAAAAACCTAAACACACATACAAATACTCCATATATGATTCATCCTCTCACATAATTCAATAGTCTCACCTATATCAAGGATGCGGTCCCCAGGCCGACTCCACCTCCAGCCCTCGAGCTGCTGATGCTCTGTGTACTGCAGGCGTCGATCATGGAAAACTACACGAATTATGCTCTGTTGAGAAAAGATGGCAAGATGAACAATGTGATCCAGAGGCCCTTCTCTTGAGATGACTTTGGTTTTCCAGAGCAGAAAGCAAAAGCTGATCTGTTACGTTTCTCATCCTTAGTCATAAGGAGAGTAGAGGGTCCCCCTAAGAGACCCATCACCATGTTTATCACATTCCTAAGGGACCCCTGAGTGAGAAAGTAACACTCTTTCCCCTTCACAGGGCATGTCTACACTGCACAGCGCAGCCCTGTACAGCTTTCTGGGATTCGGTCTGGAAGCGCAATAGCAATGTCCACCTAATCTTAGGTGTCATGCCATGGAAACGTCACTATACGGCCTCCACACCCAAAATGGCTCACAAGGGGGTAATATTTAATGTGTCTGTACCGTGCCCCAACCCCAGTATATCCCACTCTGATTAACGAATGTGAAAGCCAGCTCAACTGTCCCTGCACCAGTGGAGCTGACATTCCCAGACAGCTCGTCAGTGGGAATTAAACTTCATTCCAGCCATTTACTGCCAGTCATTGGATTTACCCTAGTGTAGTTAAAGTGTAGAACAGGAAAACTTCTGTAACAGGAGAATTTTCATCTCTGGTCTGCAATGGAGCAGCCATGTCAATAACTGGAGAAAAAAGGCTGGAATAAGGGCAAACCCCAGGGCAGACAAGTCCAAAGTATTCCTAACTAATATATCCTTTTGTATATTCAGAGTGCTATACTTGCATGAGTTAATGACCCCTCTATGTCCCAGTTTCTCAAGTCCATCCTCCTCCTGGGGACTTCTGTATCAAATGAATGAGCAATTTTTGCCAATGAACCTGAGAAATGCCCAAATCAAACCCTAGCTTCAAGAAGCAAGCAAGCCATGGTGGGAAAACCTGCAAAACTGGAATCTCAATCCACATGCTTCCTGAATTAGGCCAAAAGACAAATAGGGAACTGCCTAAACTTGGACAACATTTGAAGTCCAGATTGAAATCCAAATTTTGTGACTAGAACCCACTTCCCAAAAGAAATCCTGAGGCAGCACAGCCAAGAACTGGGGAGAGGAAGGCTTGAATGCTGGATCCAGAACCAAGATCCAGACCAAAGCTTTTGAATTTGAACTGGTTTGGGAGGGGAGGAGACAACAACAAAAAAAATCCCCAAAACCAAACAATCAAGTTCTATGTGTTCATAATTATGCCCATTATCAAAATAAACTGAAGCTATGCAGAATCTGCATCTCAGAACCATGTAAACACCAGGGTCCTCCATTTGACTTGTAAGAGCCCAGGCATGCTTCTGGGGTTACTAAGGGAGACAAGTCTGCCTCTCAGCAGTTTTGACCATGTTCACCTCTGAACTTTGGGATACCCCCAAACCCAATATTCACAGTGAAACTCTGAGGTCCTGGTCACAAACAGAATAAAGGTTCTCCTGAAGCCCTGTAAAGCCAAGATGCATAATCCCATGAAACTAGCACTCAACAACTCTATCAGCCCTGCTCCCATTAAAAACAATGGCAAAGTATTTTCCATTGTCTCAGTGTGAGCAAGGTCAGGCTCTTCATTAGAGGTTGTATGTAGTAGCAGGAAGAAAAGAAATCTATTTCTCCTTACCTTTACATATTTTGTGTTTAAATCTTGAAACTCTCCCAATTTCCTATTCTCAAGTAGACGGATTTCATAAGACTGACCTAGAGTTTAAGGAAACATTTCCAAGGTGTTTAATATGTTGTAGCAATGAGAGAGTCATGCTGGCATTTACGTGGCTGATAAAGCATACGTTTGATCAGGGAAAGCTCCTATTTGGTAACATAATGCATTTGACCCAGTAATCAAGAAGGCACTAAAGCACAGCAGCAATTTGAGGGGAAGGTTTGTCTTTTGGCACCTAAAAGTTCTCAGTTAGGGCATCGATCTTAGTCCATCTCCCAGGGCTGCTACAGTTTTCTGGTTGCTCTTCAGAAAATCACCAAGGTATTGAGACAGTTGTCCCCCTGTGTCACACCGCTGTAACAGCACTGCCTTTGTCTGTCCCTTCTGCTGAAGCAATGGTTGTGTGACGAGCTAGCTGCTGGCACAACAGATCTAGGTGCTATTCTGCAGAGCATAACAACCTGGGCAAAATCTTGCCTTCTTCGGAGAGCAGTCAGGCCTGTAAGGTGTTCCAGCGAACCAGAAATACAAGATTTGTCCCATAGGCCTTGACCATGGCTGGCCAGGGCATAAATACCTTTTCAGACATGCATGTGGAAGGAGCAATGGGTATTACAGCATGTGCAGGGACCAATTCCAGGAAGGGAATTCATATTCCAGCACCCACCACCACTCTCAGCATAAGGAATTTAGCCTGTTCAGTAGAATTCAGCTACTAATTTATGAAATAATATCTCCCTCCAAGGCTGACAGCATACAAAGGAGACTGATGTCTTGATACCTCATGCATAAATGGCTATGACAGTACAAAAACTCATTGTATAGGACCAACTCTTTACAGCAAACCTACAGCCAGTACAGAGCCAGGACAGGACCATTAGGATTAATGGAGCATATGTATACCTTACAGCTAGTTTTTCCTGTTCATCTTGCTATCATCTTCCCTATTACTGAAAAATATACAAGGTAGGATAGGGCAGGCACTAAGAAGGAAATCAGTTCAGGTTTTCTAGCTCAACCAGTATCTCTGCAGAACTGGCCCTGAAGAAAACTGCAAAGCAGCTATATCTCCCTCTAAGCAGTTGCTACCAGCAGAGACAAAAAACGACACATTTCTGGATCAAGATCTAGAAACAGAAGATTTATGACAGCAGATGTGTCAGAAGGGCACTGTGTTTCAGGCAGATTCCTTTTTGGGAATCCCAGCTTTTCCGTTTGCCCGCAGAGTACGGACCCTATCACTAGAGCACAGGGATAATTGTGCTTATTCAGCTGGCTGACAGGGGGGAAAAAAAGACAGGAGAGGCCATACTGAAGCCCCAGATGTTTGCACAACACTCCTACTGGTGTTGATAGGAGTTCTGCAAACAGGAAATGACCCTTGAATCCAGCAAGCAGCTTAGGGCACGTGGAGAGGGGAGAACAAACCATATGAAGTGCCAAATTAAGCACTGGAAACATGCATAGATCTTAACCCATCTCTTTGAGCATAAGTAAACCAAAATGACAACAGTGACCTTCCGTTGAAGATTACTGGACAACAAAAGTGCGTTTTGTAAATGATAGTCCTGAAATTGAGGTCTTCCATGCTTTAATTCCAGAGACTTTCTAACGTTCTCTCTGATACACATTAATATTTTTCACTTGGTAATTTTTAGAGAGATGTACATATCTCCCCACATAATCAACACTGTCGCATTAGCAGAAAAAAGATCAAGCTCCAACTCACAAAACTGGTTTTCTCTCATAGAATCATAAAATCATTTAGGTTGGAAAAGACCATTAAGATTACCAAGTTCCACTGTTAACCTAGCACTGCCAAATCCACCACTAAACTATGTCCCTAAGTGGCATGTCTGTTGTACTATGTACCTGTGCATACCTTGTACCTGTATATCTATATTGTATGAAGTACTTGGCTACTTAGTGGCTCATTTGGGATAGATTTCACCAGCTATAAGGCAATACAGTTCATTACCTCAAACAAATTTACGCAGACAAGCACTTACAGTTCATTCCAACGCAAATACAAAGGTAATTAATCATTACATAAAATTAATTTAGGATCTGAGACAATGAGCATCCAAGAGACGGTAAAATACATCTATGACTGTACTCCAATGTGGTAACATGAACAGAGAAATTAAATGGCATGAGCTGTACTATAAAGAAAGGCAATGGTAGAACCAGAAGCACTGCCAGCCATTCAGCAAGCATCTTAAGAAATGAGCAGGGTTTTGGAACACCTTTTTTGCACTGATATACTCCTACTCTTTGGTCAGCCTTATTTGTAGTTCCAGTGAGACAAAAGAAAATAATCAATATAAAAACATTGGCCATATTCCTTTCAAACTAGCATGAAGCACTCAAAAATTCTGCAGCATGCATCTTCCAACCACTTGCATGGGATAGGGACAATAAGGCAACCTGGCAGACAGCAGGCATTGCACATCTGGTGGGAGTGATATAGCTTGGACAGTTAGAAACAGATTCTGCCGACTGGTGAAAAAGAAACCGTAGTGGAGACAAAGTTAATATTAAATGGAAGACCAAAGAGGAAATAAAATGCTTTGATGAAAGATATATGGGTCATCTGATATAAGCCCTGAAAACAGTTTATGCCATGAAAAAAACTCAATCAAAATGGTATTTTATGCTAACTGCTTTCCCCTTGACCTCTGAATGTTTAACTCCAGTTACTACACAGAACTGTTATCAAAACAAGACTGCTCCCAGCCAAGCTTCAGAAAACATGTAGTTTACTTCCCTCTCTGTGGAACTCTGTCAGTGAGAATTTTTGTCCCAATTCCTCAGAATTCCTTTATATATAAATGTTTTGGTATTGATTTTGAAAAATTCATTCTCCCTAAAACTTATTCCAGAAAATCCACTGCTTTGTCGCTAATGGTACCCATAATTCACTGGTACAGCATCGACAATGTTCAGATACTTACACTTTTATAGCACCAAACTGCTTGGAATGTTTCGGGGTTTTTTTCCTTCTAAAATACCTTCCAAACCTTGTTTACCCTATGTTTCCCACCATCACTACTGGCAAAACTCCTGAAAGACTGAATTACAATCTCAGCCCTGCAATTGTAACAATTGCACAGAAAGAAAGCTCTGAAGAATAATCAGTACATGGATCTGCAAAATAAAGCATCTAATAGTGACCTAACTTGAAGACAGCTGAACTCCCCCTGGCGTCAAAAAGGGCAAAGAAGTCACTCAAGGACCTGGTATGCAGATCATCTATAAACCCTGCATCACTGACTCACCAGTACTAGCAGGCACAGACTGACAATTTTCTGCTAAATCTAAATCAATAACAGCGCATTCTTACTCACATATCTAAATCTGTAAAGAAATGTGGCTCCAAGCATGGCTAAATCAAGCCATATTCCCAGTTCCCAAGACAGATTGCAACTAGCTAAACCCAAAACATACAACTGAAATATGAGGAGTTCTCCTATACAGTTTTTCCATCTGTCTCAGGTAGAAATACAGATTAATATAGGTTAGACTACATCTTTCCAAGCCAATGCTTTGTGGTAAAGCTGAAGACATGGCACAGTAATCTCAGAGGTGCTGAGACTCTGCAATGATTTGACTGAGCGGTCTGACCTTGACAAAGGCAGTATCCGGTTCTCAGCTGAGAAGGGTTTAACATCCACTGTGCTCAGACGGAAGGAAGAACCTGAAGATAACACCTGTGGCGATGGAAAGCAGCGGCTGCAGTTTTGGAGAGTCTCCTTTTGCCAGGATGACATTCCACATTGCTGCATGTTAGTTTCAAGTCCAGCGCTAAAGGCCAGCAACTTGCTGAAGCCCTTTTCCTCCCATGCTCTCAACATTGGCTACAGCTGCACCACCACAGGCAACACGGTTGGTGACCGGCCTTGTCTGGTCACATTGTAATATTGGACACATGCATACAAAGGTACCTAAAGCATGTCTATCACTACCTAAAATAAGAGGATATTGTACAAGCAAATCCCCAGGATAGGTGAGGCCAAAGCAGCCTCCTGCCTGCCTGCCTGCCCCGGTGCTCCCTTCGCACAGAGCTTGCTAAACTCCTCTTCCCTACCTCAGGCAGAGAACAGAACGATAATAAATACTTAGAAAACCACAGTAAATTCCTGAGATGCAGTTTGTCTCCCAGCTTCACTGAAAGCTTCAGGGGCACCAATAAAAACCTGGGTGGGTGTTGATACACTGTAATTTGTGTTTTGAACAGACATTCCCTGAGCAACACCAAATTTATGCAATCTCCTCCTAGGCTACAGTTTGAGCAACTCTGCTTTATGAACAAGAGTAGTATCCAACAAAGTAGTAACCACCCATGTCCGGAGAGTTCCTGCTTGGTGATTCATAAAGCAATTGCATCTATCCTAAAGAGGATTTACAGACTGCTTATTTTTTTAGCTTTTATTGTCTTTGGTAACTAACACACATTAAATGCAGGCTGGGACAAAAGAACTGAAAGTCAACAATTTGCTATAGATGAAAAATAATATAGTTCAACACAGGAACACTTTCACCCACGCAAAAGGTACAAGCCATAATAGCTTAACTGATTTCCATTCCTGGGATTTAGTCAGCCATCAGGAGTTTCAGGCCATTTCTGATTATAAAAGATTATCATTATTTCAAGCTCAAAGTTACATTTTGTTCAAAGATTATTTGCTCCACAGCCACAATATCTTGCTTGCTTTTTTATTGTTTTGGTGTTATGTTTCAAGGGCCACTCGCAGTACGTATTTTGTGGTTTTCTGCATGATACACTGATCCAATATGCTGATTTCCAACTAGGATGCTGATGTTCCAGACCAGTATGAATCAGGCCTTATTTAATCTAGCCAAGTAGTCTGCTTGCCTTTCCAGCAATTAATTAAACCCTAACCTTAGACTGAGCAATATCCCTAACAAAAGTCTGTGGAAAGATAAAAAAAAAGACTGAGAGTCCTCTTTCTCAGAATGGATCCACACAGCACTAGACAGAACCAGCCTGGAAACTGTTTGATTATTAAGCCAAGAT